TTGTTTTCCTTTGTGTTTTCTTTTTTCTCTTCAAGCAAGCCCTTTAACATTTTTACAGTACTGATTTGGTTTTAACAAACTCCGTTAGCTTTTTCTTGTCTGGAAGCTCCTTATTTCTCCTTTGATTTTAAATGATAGCCTGCTTGGGTAAGGTAGCCTTGGCTGTAGGTCCTAGCTTTTCATCACCTTTAATATTTCACACCATTCCCTTATGGCCCGAAATGTTTCTGTTGTGTAATCAGACCCCAGTCTAATTGGTGCTCCCTTGTAGGTAACTACCTGCTTTTCTATTGTGGCTGTTAGGATTCTCCTGTCTTTAAGTCTTGTAATTTTAAATTATGCTGTGTCTCAGTGTAGGCCTTTGGGTGCAACTTGTTTGGGACTCTCTGAGCTTCCTGGGCATGTGTGTCTTTTTGCTTGATCCAGTTAGGGAAGTTTTCAGTCATCATTTCTTCAAATAGATTCTCGATCCCTTGCACACTCTCCTCGAATTTATCTTTTTCACTAATTTGAGAAAATTCACAGCCAGTATCTTCATTTTTTTAAAGATTTGATTTATTTATTTTTAGAGAGGGGGGAGGGAGAGAGAAGGAAAAGAAGAGAAACATCAGTGTGTGTTTGCCCCTCACGTGCCTCCCACTGGGGACCTGGCCCACAACCCAGGCATGTGCCCTGAGTGGGAATGGAACCAGTAACCCTCTGGTTCACAGGCCGGCACTCAATCCACTGAGCCACACCAGCCAGGGCTCAATATCTTTTTAAACATTGCTTTCACTCCATTCTTCTCTCTTTCTAGGATATGATTAGTTGTAGGTTAAACTTTCCCATTCTGTTCTTTCTTTTTAGTAAAATAAGCATGTAATTAGATGACAAGGACAACCGTTGTCCTCACCTTCCCAGTTAGGTGACACAGAGAATGTCAGCTCTGCCTTCAGAAGTGTAATTTTTGCCAAAGAACCTATACGCATGACCCATAGATGTGAACAGTGGTGTGGGGATTGCCTGAGGGAGTGGAGGGTACTGGGGTGGAAGGGGACAAAGAGGGAAAAATTGGGATAACTGTAATGGCATAATCAATAAAATATTATTAAAGAATCTGAAAGAAAAAAAAAAGAAGCACAATTCTCTAGACTCCTGAGCTCACAAAATGCACTTATAAACTAATGGACTCTGTTGAGAGCAGCTGAGGCACTGTGGAATTTGTCAGGATGGGGAGCCAGCTGTCGCCTGTCTCCTAGTCTTCTTTGGTGGGCTTCTGCGTGATATTGTGTGGGACAGATTGCTAGCCAAAACCCAGTGTGCACTGTTTCCCTCTTGTCACTCCTCTACTATGAGAATATTCTCTTTTGCTGGGTAGAGAGCATAAATAAAATTTATATCAAGTCTAGACCAGTGCTGTCCAATAGAAATCTAATGCATGCCACACTATGAGCCACTTAAATAATTTAAAATTTTTTAGCAGCTACATTTTAAAGATTAAAAAGAAACAGGTGAATGAATTTAATACTATATTTAAACCACTATATGCAAAATATTATTTCAAAATATAATCAACAAAAATTAGTAACTATTTATTTAAAATTTTTTCTGCCCTAGCTGGTGTGGCTCAGTGGATTGAGTGCTGGCCTGCAAACCAAACAGTTTGCAGGTTCAATTTCCAGTCAGGGCACATGCCTAGGTTGTGGTCCAGGTCCCCAGTAAGGGGTGCATGAGAGGCAACAACAGATTAATGTTTCTCTCCCTCTTTTTCTCCCTCCCTTCCCCTCTCTCTAAATACATATAAACAATGTTAAAAAAATAAAACATTTTCTCATAAAGCTCTGGCTGATGTGGCTCAGTGGATTAAGTGCCAGACTACGAACCTCAGGGTCACTGGTTTGATTCCCAGTCAGGGCATATGCCTGGGTTGCAGGCCAGGCCCCCAGTGGGGGCTCTTGAAAGGCAACCACACATTGATGTTTCTCTCCTTCCCTTCTCCTCTGTCTAGAAATGGATAAATATAAAATTAAAAAAAAAAATTTCCCATATGAAGTTTCTAAAGTCTGGTATGTATTTCATACTCCCAGCACATACCAGTTATGACTAGCTGTGTTGCAAGATCACTCATGTGACTCATGGTGCTGTGTTAGGGCAGGTCATCTCTGTTAGCTGAACTTCCTTTTGCATTCTGTGTTCCCCACTGTTACATTATTAAGAATGTAACAGGTCTGCGCTCAAGCCACTGAGCTACACCAGCCAGGGATGTATATCTATTTTCTTAACCAGATTTTCCATCATCATTTTTTCACATAGCTTTTCAATCCATTTTTCCCTTCTCCTTCTGGAATCCCAATTTTGTGAATGTTGGTGTGCTTGAAGTTGTTTCAGAGGCTCATTATACTATCCTCATTGTTCTGAATTCTTTCTTTATGCTGTTCTCATTGGTGGTATTCTTCCTCCTTATCTTCCAGATCTCTTATTTGATACTCTGCTTCATCTACTCCACTGTAGATTCCCTATAATGTATTTTTTTGTTGTTTTAGTTAATGTATTCTTTATTTCCGATTGGTTCTTTTTATGTTTTTTATCTCCATTTTTATGTTTCCTATCTTTTTGTTGAAGTTCTACTGAGTTCATCTACTCTTCCCCTAAGTTCTTTGAGCATCCTTATAACCAGTGTTTTGAACTCTGCATCTGGTAGATTGCTTGTCTCTATTTTGTTTAGTTCTTTTTTTCTGAGTTTTGTTCTGTTCTTTCATTTGGGACATGTTTCTTTGTCTCCTCATTTTGGCTACTTCCCTCTGTTTGTTTCTGTGTAATACCAAGAGCTGCTACATCTCCTGGACTTGGTAGAGTGGCCTTATGTAGTAAGTGTTCTGTAGAATCCAGTTGCACAATCTCCCTGATCATTAAGTTGGGTATTTCAGGTGTGCCTTCTGTGTTGGCTGTGTATACCCTCCTGTTGTAGTTGAGCCTTGATTGCTGTTGGCACTCAATGGGTGGGATTTATGCTTTGTCCGATCAACTGGGAGGACTGGCTGTGACCACTGTGGAGGATCTGCTGTACAGGGGCTGACCCCACAGAGCTAGACCTACTTCAGCCAGGCTCTCGGTGCCCACTAAGTCTGGTGCCCTTGAATGCACTACTTGTAGAGGTAGTAGGGTGGTTGGGTGCTTTGATGTGGTCTGAAGCTGTCCACTGGGTACAATGAATGGCCCTGGGGACTCCCGGAAGATGCAGGCCATGGTCCCCCGCCTCCTGTGCCCTGCCCATGGCCATGCAGCATGAGCTACAAAGTGATATGCAGATAGCTGCTACTTGTGCTGGGCTTGGAGGTGGCCAGGAGAGGCAAAGCTGTGAACCATTGTGGTCTGCCACCAGTGCCAGACCTGGAGCCACTTAGTGAGAGAGGTATGGGGCACACTGAGGCTAGATGCTGCTTGTTTGAGAGATTTTAGGAAAGTCTAAGGCTTGATCCAAAACAGGTCATTTGTTTGGAAAAGCCACTGGTAATAGCTGTGTGGGCCCACAAGTTGGGTGGAGTGTGGAGGGGAGTTTTCAGGGAATCACTAGGGCAAGGAGAACAGTGTTAGCCAGGTTGATGGAAACTCAGACATGGTTCTTTGTGGGGGGCTCAGGACAGGAACAAGGCTCTCTGTCAGCACTTCTGTCCGGGAGAAAACCGCCCCTCTATCTTTTGCCCTGATTTCAGACTATTCAGTTCTTCTCCCTATGTCCCTGGTGCTCCATTGCTGGAACTTACAGAGATTAAGTTCTTGTGCAGGCTCTTCAAAAGGAACTGCTTAGGGCTCTGGAAGTTCCCCGTCACACTCAACGACAATCCCCGCTGGTTTTCATAGCCAGAAGTTATGGAGACTTGTCTTCCTGGCTCTGGAACCCTGGGCTGGGGGGCCTGGTGTGGGGCTGGGACCTCTTGCTCCCCCGGGGGGATCTCTGCAGCAGATATATACCTCCTGATGTATATCCATCACTCCCAGGTGTGGACTAGCCCATTCTATGTCTCCACTCCTCACACCATTCTCTTTGTGGCTTCTTTATATCCTTAGTTGTAGAGCTTCTGTTCAGCTAGATTCAGGTGATTCTGAACGATGGTTGTTCTGTAGTTTAGTTATAATTTTGACAAGGTTGTGGGAGGATTCGAGTGACTGCATTTACCTATGCCACCATCTTGACTAGAACCCCTAAAACAAATTGTTTTTAAAAATAATTTCTAAAAAATTCCATGTTGTTTGAACTCTCTTCATTCCTTATCTTGGTAACTGGTCATCTTTGTGTCTTTTTTTTTTTTTTAAGGTTTCCTCTTGTTAGGTCACCTTTTCAAAAATATTTTTTAAATTGATTTTAGAGAGAGGAAGGGGGGAGAGAAACAAACATCACTTTAGTGTTCCACTTATTTATGTATTCACTGGTTACTTCTTATGTATGAATGTATTTATTTATTGAGAGTGGAAGGGAAGGAGAAAAAGAGGGAGAGAAACATCGATCTGTTGTTGCCTCTTGCATGCCCCCTACTGGGGACCTGGCCTGCAACCCAGGCATGTGCCCTGACTGGGAATTGAACCAGTGACCCTTTGGTTCACAGGCTGGCACTGAGTCCATTGAACCACACCATCCAGGGCTGGTTGTTTCTTTTATGTGCCTTGACCAGGTATCTAATCTATAACCATGGTGTGTTGCTCTAACCAACTGAACTAGCTGGCCGGAGCCTGTGTCTGTATCTTTAACTTCTTTAAACATTTCATAAAGAATGTACAACTACCTGGCTAGGTAGTTCAGTTGGTTAGATCATCTTTCTAGTACAGGGGGATTTATTTTTGAGGATTGGGAGCCTTGAAGATTTACCTTACCTCTTGTGCTACCAGCAGTTTCTTAAGGTATATGACCTTTGCAGGGTTTAGCTGTTCTGCTGTGGGATTGTTCTAAGGACTTCATCTGTCATGATACCAGAATTGGAAGAATCTGCTGACACCAGGACACTCAACTGTGTGTGTTTCTCCAGGAATTCATTGAAGAGTTGCTATCTCCCCCTTTTGGGGGTCTGGTGGCATTTGTGAAGGAGGCGGAGGCTTTGATTGAGCGTGGACAGGCTGAGCGACTTCGAGGGGAAGAAGGTATGAGAACGGTGTGGTAGTAATGGGGTCTGTGGTAAGATGATTGGAAAAGAAAAATGAGAGAATGTGGATTACATGGGGAGTGGGTGGGGCAGGAAAGAAGGGATTGGGAGAACACCAGAAAAGAGGGGTTGGATGGTGAGGATGGCTGTGCCTTGGGGAGGATTTTGTGGGGTCAAAGATCATTTAGCCTTGTCCCTGTCTGACATTTCTCTTTTCTCCTACCATCAGCCCGGGTTACTCAGCTGATTCGTGGCTTTGGTAGTTCCTGGAAATCGTCGGTGGAGTCTCTGAGTCAGGATGTAATGCGGAGTTTCACTAACTTCAGAAATGGAACTAGTATCATCCAGGTGACCTGCAACTCCCACCCTGCCCCCATCACTCATTTATCCCCCTTTTCCCTGGGCTCAGCATCATCCAAGTGACCCTTGACCTTCACCTACCAGCTATGCCCAAAGTTCTGGATAATCCCTAACCTGATTCTTAATTATCATCATTAGTGCTGCCCCACAGTCTTACCCCTCCTTGACTTTCTCTGACCAGGGAGCATTGACCCAGCTGATCCAGCTTTATCATCGTTTCCACCGGGTGCTGTCTCAGCCCCAGCTCCGAGCTCTCCCTGCCCGGGCTGAGCTTATCAACATTCACCACCTTATGGTGGAGCTCAAGAAGCACAAGCCCAACTTCTGATGTGCCGGACCCTGGGACTCATGAGCCTTCTCCATGGACTCCTATACTTCATCCATCCCATACCCTTCTTCACCTGGCGTGCCCCCCTCAGTTTTCCCCTTGCCTCCCAGGTCTGTGGCATGCCTCACCCTGCCTTCATTCCAGGACCGTGCCTCATCAGGGTAGGCTAGGTCCCTTTAGCTTTCTGAATCTCCCAGGGTCTTCAGGGTTCCCAGGACCACCTTTCCCTGGGCATCCAGAGTGACATTTACCATTCTCCAATTTTGTCTTTTGTCACCCCCTCTATCCCTTCCCCCTAAAACACCTCAAAAAACCAAGGCTCTCTCAATCTCTGGTTCATTCAACTCTTGTCAGCATGTCCTTAGGTGTGAAGCCTCAACTCTTGGAATTAATTGCTGGTAAGGGGAGACTGCCTCCAAGTCATTGATTTATCTTTTTTTTTTCCTCCCATGCAAAGTGGATTCCTTTCTGTAGTTTTTTGACCTAAGATCTCAGCAACTTGAACACTAACCAGTTCCCCTCCTCGCTTGAGAGATACTCCAAGGTCAGTTTGCAGAGAACAATAAATATTGATATGACACAACAATCCTCTCCCATTTTCTTTCTCCTCCTGGGACCTGCAAGTAGCCCCATTTCTGCTCCAGCGTCACCTCCATCTCCGAGTATATCCTGGGCTTATATCTCATCTGGTTGGTGTTGAAAAAGTAGGAACACACACCCCTAGCTGCTTTAGGCCAATGTGACTGCGCTGGTTTTAGGGTAGAGATTATTTCATGAGTAACCTACCTGATGGAAGAAGGTGGCCCCTGGTTAAAATGGCAGATGCAAGGGCTGGGTACATGGCTGTGCACCGTCAGACACTGTTCCAAGGGCTGCCTTGGGTCCCCCACACCAGCTTTCCTTGGATCCCGTCCCTTGGATCTAACTGTGGGATTGCTGTTCCTTGAACATCCGCTCCCTACCTTGCACAGGGCTTGTAGCCCCCACACCGGTTGGGGTAGGGGTAAGCCAGCTTTGCATGGTGTGCCTCTACCCACTTCTGTGTTTGACTCAAGCCCTCCTGCTGTCTCCGCTTGTACACTTCAATTAAACTTAAACTCTGGACTGGAAAGACACAGGGGTGCCTTTAAGTCCTACAGGTAAGATGTGGGCACTTGGACAAATGGTAATTAGGCGACCTTTCCTTTGATAACTATGCCCCTACATTCTAGTCATTCCATCCCAAGCCTTGGAGGATTGTAGAAGAAAAGTGATTTCTACTCCGCTTATACCCTCGGGGTGCGGGCCCAGCCAGCCCTGGCTGTCAAAGAAGGTGTCCTCAGGGGCGCCGCACGTGGTCAGACCGGTGGAGTGTCTAGCGCAGGGCAGTGGAGCGAAGACTGGCTAGTTCCTTGGCTCGTCGTGATTGGCGGGCGCTCCGGATTGGCTGCTGCGGGGAGGGGGTGTGGTGGAGGTTCACCCTCTCCGCTCTGGCTTTTTCTTGGGTTCCACCCCCATCTCCCGGAGCAGTGCTCCGCTACAGAGGTTGGGCTTGGCTGCCCAGAGTGTCTTGGCACCTAAGGCTAAGTGCGGGGGAGGGCGAGATGATGTTGGGGACTGACAGTGGCTCCGGATTGGCCCAGACGCCTCAGGCTGGACCAAAGCAGCATCCTTAACTGACCTCACCTGGCATCATCGCCACTTTCCGCCTCCTATCAGTGTCTTCACTTTACTCGGCCTGTCTCTGCCCCAGGCCTGCCTGGCGCTAGGCGGCGGTGTGCTGGGCTCCAAGAGGCGGAAAGCTAGTCCAGGTAGGTGGCCCCAGCAATCCTCTGTTTCACCACATTATTTCCTGCCTCTAGTTTCTTGCTCACCTATACCCATACCCCACTTCTAGGTTTCAACCTTGGGGGATACAGATGTTCTCTTATTTGACCTGACTCCAGCCTCAGCCTGAGGAGAACGGGAGACGCAGGCTGCTTTGACAAAGAGCGGGTTCACAGAGAAAGGGTCACCCATACCTTGCGAGGGAGACTATCCCTCCCCCGCCCTCTCATAGGTAGCTTCATTGGTAGTCAGCTAATACTCCGGTGGAAGAAGGCCCATGCAAGCAGACACCTTGGATTTTCGCAGTTTCTGACCTTCCATTCTATCTAACCCCGAACCCAAATATTCAGACTTGGCTGATATACGAGGTTTTTTTGCAGACCACAGAGGAGCAGTACTAGCGTGTGCGGAGACTCGTGATTCTGGAACCCATAGGTATTCACATTATACTGGAGGACACAGTTTTCAGGGACATTGAAGTCACCCAGGGATCCATATGAAATCTCTGACCCGAAGTACCTCGGTGTGGGACGAAAAGGAGACAGAATTGCGTGAATGGGGGCCGTGATACCTCTGCCGCCGTCCAGGGGGCAGCATCGACCAGGAGATGGAGTTCTCGGCTGCAAGGCTTCTCCCGTGCCTCCATGCTGAAGCGCCAAAGGACTCATGGGCTGAAAAACCATTAGATGGGACCTTGTGATCCCCAGGCTGAAACTTGGGTAACATCACTGACCCTCAACTTTCTCCCTCACTTAGTTCGTTTTGCTGATGATGGACACATCGGCCTCACATATCTAGAAGTATCTGGGATCACTTCCCAGGACGGGTTGTGTCAATATCCTGCTTCCTTTTGCTAATCTCCAAGAACGGTGTCTGTATCTGGTACAAGGGGCCCTATTCTTACCTGCTGTCATATAGGAAAGGCTTGGGGGTATACAGCAATACCACGCTGTTCAGGGATGTCGATCTTTTTTAACAAGTCATTTTTCTCTTTGTCCACAGCTCTGCTCTGAGTTATTTTTTAATTGGGCTCTCTGGGAAATATTTACTCTGTGTTCAACAGCTCTGTTTCTGCATAACATAAGGGTGCTCATCTCAGCATCAATTTCAGAGCTATAGAATATGAAACCCCGGGCTGGTGTGGCTGTGTGGATTGAGTGCCAGCCTGCGAACCAAAGGGTCACCAGTTTAATTCCCAGTCAGGGTAGATGTCTGGGTTGTGGGCCAAGTTCCCAGTAAGGGACATGCGAGAGGCAACTGCACATTGATGTTTCTCTCCCCTTCTTCCTGCCTCTCTCCAAAAATAAAGAAAATCTTAAAAAACAAAAGAATATGAATATGTACTCCAAGGACAGAAAGAAAAATGAGAGACATCCTTTTTTTTCTTCCCATCCTATCCATATGGACCCACCCACTCTCCACTTAATAAGGGTGACTTTTCTGATTTAAGGAAAGCAGATATTAGGAGAAGCAGACAAATTGACTGGGTTCCAACATAGATTTAGGGCAAAGATTCAAGGACAAAAAGAGAAAGCAACACCAAGACAAAACTTTGAGGGGAAAAAGAGAGATCAGCTCTCTTTGTCCTGGGAATATTGGATACAGCAATTCATGTTGCATTTTAGAGTTTACTGAGTATTTTCAGATACGGTACTCACTATACCAAGATACATTTATTGATCCTCTTCTCTGTGTTCTGTGGACCCTGATCTCACGGAGCAGGTATTTCATCTCCCTGGATTCACATACCTGCCCTGTAAGGAGCTGTTCTTCCCATTTTGTATTCTTGAATTTGTAGTGAGCCCCACACCACACAGCCACTCTGTGGCTTGGACGTTCTGTGCCACATTCACCCTTTGTGCCATGTCCCCAGGCTGGGAGTCATGGAGTGGAGGAAACAGCTGGCTATAGAGAAAGAACAATTTAACTACAAGAAGTAAGAATAAGTTATTGGAAGGATATTTACAGAACAGAAGGAAAAGCTCAACAGGCAGGCTCTGGGAAAGGACAAAAACCTGGATGGTCCCAGCATCTAGGTAGCAGGGACCAAAGGTCAGAAGGTTCATGGGCAGGAGGCATGTTCTTGACTGAGCTCCCTTTCCTCTCAGACACTTCACTGGCTGTATTGCTGGGCTCTTACCCAGGACCCCAACAGATCTGTGGATGAAGATGGAAAAATAACATTTTATTTTCACTAACTTCAAACTAAAACTTAAGATTTCTTCCAATAATAAATGTAAGCAACAAGCCAGCACAGAATTAGCAGTACCGGTGACTGTCACCAACAGGAATCACAGACTTTATTTGTGTATTTTATTGTTTATGCTATTACAGCTGTTCCTGCTTTTTCTCACTTTGCCCTCCTCCCCACAGTCAGAATCACAGACCTTTTTTTTTTTTATCACCTTTCACTTGCAGAAATTTCAAGATGTCATACGTGCTCATCACTACTTTGTAGTTATGGTCATGGTTAGACCCATCACTAGATCTTATCATCACACATTTGTTCCTTATTTTGATAACTATACTTCAATATAATTGTGTTCTTTTGTAATGCTCTGTGTTTTATTTTATGCAGTTGAAAAAATATTCTAAGGCTCCACAGACTGCCAAAGGGGTCCAAAGTGTAAAAAGGTTAAGAATCCCTAGGTCTCTGATGAAATGGTAGTTTCATGTTCTTTTTTTTTTAAGCTATCATAATTGGGAAGGTTTTCTTTATGTTTGAACTAAATGTCTTCTGTAATTGTCTGCCCATATTTTATTGCATCCATCATTACTCAATTCAGTTATTCATTAGTTCATCATATACTTAGGAAACACCTTTCTTGTACAAAGCACTGCTCCACAAAACTATACTACCAGCTTCAAAACAAACCTCACTTGCTTTGGTTCCCATGGGGGATCCCAAGCTGGGATAGGAGTGGGACTATACTCAGATGGGCACTCAGGCTGCTGCTTACCAAGGGCTTAGAGCAGGGAGGGGCACCCTGGGAGAGGCAATAAGAGAGTGTGTTATCTGTAGGGAATTTTTTTAAAGTATACTTTATTGATTGTGCTATTACAGTTGTCACATTTTCTTCCTCCCCTTTCTTCCCCTCCACCCTGCACCTCTCCCCTCCCACCTGCATTTCCCCCTTAGTTGATGTCCATGGGTAGCACATATACATTCTTTGGCTTCTTAATTTCCTATACTATTCTTAAGCTCCCCCTGTCTATTTTGTACCTACCATTTATGCTTCTTATTCTCTGTACCTTTTCCCCCATTCTCCTTCCATCTCCCCACTGCTAACCCTCCATGTGATCTTCGTTTCTGTGATTCTGTTTCTGTTCTAGTTGTTTGCTTAGTTTGTTTTTGTTTTTGTTTTTTTTTAGGTTCAGTTGTTGATAGTTTTGAGTTTGTTGTCATTTTACTCATTTTTGATTATCATTTTTTTCTTAAATAAGTCCCTTTAACATTTCATATAATAAGGAGTTGGTGGTGATGAACTTTTTAACTTGACCTTATCTGGGAAGCACTTTATCTGCCCTTCCATTCTAAATGATAGCTTTGCTGGACAGAGTAATCTTAGATGTAGGCCCTTGCCTTTTATGACTGACTACTTCTTTCCAGCCCCTTCTTGCCTGCAAGATTTCTTTTGAGAAATCAGCTGATGGTCTTATGGGAACTCCTTTGTAGGTAACTGTCTCCTTTTCTCTTGTTGCTTTCACTATTCTCTCATTACCTTTAATCTTGGATAATGTAACTATGATGTGCCTTGGTGTGCTTCCTTGGGTCCAACT